CCACAGTAGAAAAGTTTAACAAATAGGTAAGCTACAAAATATGAAGTTTAAGTGGCCAATCAGTGTATGTGTGTAATCAAATTCATTATCAATACGAAAAATGTAAAGTTTTGAAAATGTGTGCAAAAATTTTGCCTAATAAATTGCCTCCTCAAAAAAAATAGACTAACTGCCACAAAACTGTACATCTGGAGGGCATATGATTAAATGGAGGCTGCGTTGCTGGTGGGTGTCTCAATGGATCCAATAATCTGGTTACAATTTGGCAACAGAAGAAGTTTTTAAAGCTTTTCAGTCTCTTTGATCCAGCATTTCCTTTTATTTAGCAGAATTTATCCTGAGGAAATAATTAGAGATGTACAAAATTATGTACAAGGCTGTTAATTATATATTCAACATATCAATGTATATTCAATAAATATATACTCATCATATGTTATTTATAATAATATTGTGTTACTAGACTAACAATCAGGGGCCATGTCACCATATGATGGATTACTAAGTAGCCAAGAACAAAATCCTTTTGAAGAAGAGTGTTTGTTGACAATGGGAAACGTTGACAATATGTACACTGTTAACATTAGTTATCTTTGAGTGGCGTCATTATTTTGTTAATAACCTCTGACACCATGAAAAGCTATTCTACATAGGTTGTAGGATATATGCACCGCTGTGATTCTATTTGTGAAGGAATGAAATAGCCATGAGGAAGCAGTTGTAAGCCTAAGGAACACCTGAAAAACAACATGGGCTTTACAAAAAAATACTGAGTTTGCCCTACTTAAATGTAGGATATCTCAAAACACTAAATATATTGCTCCAGAGTCTGCTTTCACTTTATACCCAACCATTAATATGTATGCCTTACTTTATGAAAATGCAATTTATAAATATTTAAAATCGAAGTATAGATAATCTAATTTTAAAAGTAAAAGGGGAACTAGGAATGAACTAGTCTCATTTTCTCATTTAGTAGATAAGGAATCCCAAGATCTAGAGAGATTAAGTGACTTGCTTAGTTAATATCCTTAACATATAAACAGGTTCTACAAATAATGAGAAAAAGACAAAGATCATAATGGGCAAATGAGCAATAAATATGAAAGAGCAAATTGCAGATGAAGAAATGCAAGTGGCCAATAAACACGTAAAAAATAACCTCAGGAGTAACAAGGGAAATGTAAAATTTTTAAAAAACCTATATTGTTCTTAATTTTGCTTAACAAATGAGCCCCTCCCAAAATAAGCAGACAAGAAATAGTGCAAAGATCACATGGCAGAAAATATTGGGGTAACAACTGAAAGCTCTTGTCTATCCTTGCAAGCATCCCTCCCTTGGTACCAAGGATACTCCCAATAATAATGTCTTGCTAAAGAAAAAGACAAACACCAAATACAGAAGTGAAACGAACAGGCGAGTCACAAAGAAGAAATCCAAGTTAAATAAATGAATGAGGAATATATTATTCACATTAAAGGATTCATAATAGTGTGACTTAAAATTACTGGAGGCCCAGTTTCAACGAAAACATCAAATACTTTGCTAACTTTTTGCCACATCCTAACTTCATAAAGCTAGGTTCAGTGCAAGCATAATAGATCCTTGTTTCTGTCTCTTCTGGGATAGTTAGAGTTTGAGATCTTAGTTTCCTGTTCAGCCAGGGTGAAAACCTCTAACTTTGGTATTTAAAACTTAGAATTCATATTCATATCTTAGAATGAATTCCCCTATGCTGTGAATCATAGTTTTATTCAAAATAGAGCTCATTATGATGTCATAAATGTCAGCACAATTTCCTTCAGATTACCTAGGAAATGGTGCTTAATTGCAGATTAATAAAATATGGTATTATGGCACTTTTTTTACTTTCCTCTTTAAGAATCAGTATATCTCAACGAGTGATATCATACAGTCCTAATTTCAAATTAGGTGGGGTAAAGAAATGAGAAAATTTTGGCAAGATCTGACTCCATTGTAACTGATATTAAATAACTACAGAAAATAAACAATTTTTCATTTGTGTTAGTGCAAAATACATAAATTTAATAAGCATTGTGGCTGAAAGAGCCTACAAAAACATACCTCCTTTATCTGAAATGCTGGCCTGTTTCATTTTAGGAAAATAGTTTCAATGTTCTCAACTCCTGCTCATTTAAAAAATGATTTTCTTTTCTTAAAGGTTAATTGATTTCCTGTATTGCATAACAGTGATATTACCTACTATGTTTTTCAAAGAGAAAATGTGTTTATTTGTTCTTTAAATTATGTTCTTAGAGCAAACAGTTCTGATGGCTTACAACTTTATTATGGTCTTCTTTTTGGTGTCTTTTAAAAAAATTTTATGGATAAATCATAGTTGTACATATTTATGAGAAACACATGAAATTTTGATATAAGCATACAATGTGCAGTGATCAAATCAAGGTAACTAGGATATCCATCACTTCAAGCATTTATCATTTCTTTGCGTTAGGAACATCCCAGTTCCATTCTTTTCTAGTTATTTTGACAATAATTATTGTTAACTATAGGTACCCTATTGTGCTACTGAGCCCGAGCCCATAGTAAAAGAGAGGGGGGGGGAGAGAGAGAGAGAGAGAGAGAGAGAGAGAGAGTGAGAGAGAGAGAGAAAAGGACATTGTTTTATTTTACACACAAACGAGGGTGCTTAAAGTAATGATTTTCTCATCTAAGCCCATTAACATATACTGAACATATATGTGTATGAAGAAGGTTCCTTTTGAAAGTAGAACTACGATTAGTTTCTCTACTATGAAGCAAATGCTGGAAGTGAAAGTTCCCTCCTTAACTAGGAGGCATTGGGGTTCCAGTTCAGCCTGCGAGGAAAGCGTCCCGGCTTCTACAAGATGGGCAGAGAAGCTAGCTTGTGAGTCTGGATAGCTCAGCCCTCGAGTTGACTCAGCCTTGGGGGTTCTGCCAACAGTAGGACGGTCTAGAGCTAGAAGACAACTTCCTGGACCACTGGGACTCAGAACAAGGGTCCACAAACTACAGTCTGTGGGCCAGCGCTGACCTGCTGCCTGTCTTGTAAGTAAAGTTTTACTAAAACACAGCCAAGCCCATTTGTTTACACATAGCCTGTGGCTTTTCATGCTACAACAGTAGAATTGAGTAGTTGCGACAGACGCCATATGGGCTGCAAAGCCAGAAATATCTATTCACTGGCTCTTAAAAAAAATGCTGGCCCCTGATCTAGAGGGGCCTGGGATGGACGGTCAGTCGTGTGCTCTATCTAGAACTAATCCTCATGGCAAGCAAAGACCATTTTATTACTCATTTTTACACCAAGTTTTGCCATTTTCATATGTCTCAGGGTATGTTCTTTGAGTCTAGAACTTTTTGGAAGCTTTTTCAGGTGGGCATATTATCATGGAGTATAGAGCCACTGTTGTGTAGCACTGGATCTCACACTGCCCTTTATTGGAGAGGGAGACCTTGGTTTTGCAGTGGCTACCTGTTGCCTGATTTCTGTGTGCTCACTCCTGCATGTGCCTACAAAGACTTACATTGCCAACGTTCTTTCGACTGAGATCCCTCTCCTTCCAGTAGAATCTTGGAGGCTGTAGCTAAGGTTGAATGAGCATGTCTATGACGTAGAAGGTGTGAGATTTAAGAGGAGGAAAATTCGGCCTAGTTGGCAGCAGAATAGAAATGGGAGTGGGTGCCTTTTGGTGCCTGTTAACATGAAATAAGATGGAGAGAAGATGAGATGTGATTCTGAAGCCCTCACTTCTTACAGGTGTGAATCATTCTGGTTCGCCCAAGCACTCTATCTTTTTGCTACATCAGGAGCTTGAGCATGGGTGGGAAGAGAGGCCAGGCAATGATGCCAGGAGAGATAATGTTTATGGTCGTTGAGAGGCTTCCAAACTTTCAGAAGGCTGAGGGGCCAATTTCAGTTGCTTCAGTTTCTCAGGTATACTGGAGAATGGATTCTTGGGGGAAATGTCCTGAACATTTAGTTCATCATAGTGTGGGAAGGAGACATGAACAGATTATCAAAGGTCAGGCTGCATCCATGACACACAGAGATCTATGGGGACCTGCTCTGCTGCCATGGTAACCAAAAGGATAGTCATGCTCTTGGTGCTAGGCTGGAAGATGTATAGCCAAGGTCACAAACTCACAGAGTATGGATTGATTCCTGTCAGCAGACATATTTTGACTGGCCCTTGAGTCTTTGATATTTTTATAAGTTCATTGTTAACATTTAAAAATTAGGATATTTCATTTACAATCTCGATTTCTCTTGAAAATTAGAAATTTCTGAACACACAGAATTTCATTCCTTCTTATCAGTGATTGCCTAGGTTGGGGAATAGCTTCCCTTCAGGAAGAACCCAAGTTTTCCAGTTTTATTTGTTTTTCCTTATACCCACCCTTTGCAGTCATCTGTCTGGTTGTGTAATCTGCCCCGGCCCCTGGGCCCTTTGAGTGTGCAACCCCCATGCTATGTGTTGCACAAAGAATTTGTGCTATTGCAACCGTATATTCCTCCAGGGGTTATTTTGTCTCTCCTTAGACCCTTGCTAAGAGTTTTATAGCTCACTTGTATCTTATGTGATCTAATCATATTACATTTTGACTCTACTGCCCAAAGGAATAAACAGCCCACTTTGGGGAACATACATAGACTCTGTGGTCACTAAGTATGCACAACCGTTTGTTATCTTAATCTAAATGACTGCAAAGAGTACACATATTTAGTGTACAATGGTGATCTTATGATGGTTAAAAACTAGTTTTTCACCATGAGTAATCATTTCCTCTCCATCTGTCTGGTGATGGCATCTCTCATAATTCTGCAGAAGATGGAAGCACATTTGCAGGGATATAGTTACAGGGTTTAATAACACTTATGGGTTTGGAAATAATTGTTGCTAAGACTCTCAAGTTTGTCTTTAGGAAGCTTAAATTTCACTTCAGGTGGAACAAAAATAAAGACACACAAAGAAAATTAAAAATATATAGATACCTGTCATACTGTTGGGAGTCATAGGTTAGTAATCATTCTGGATCCTTTTCTTCACTGACATCTCCTACAAAGAAAAAATACCACAGATTATAACCTGCATTTTCCATAATGTGTTGTTCCAAATAGTACCATGTGCATTAATTAGTTTGAGGCAAGATTTGTTACTCTCAGCTCAGAACTGGGGATACTGAAGCATAGGTGGGCTATGTGATAAGTGTGAGTTTACAAGACTTCTCAATTTTCATCTCAGGATTCCTTCTATAAATATGTTTTTAAAATAATATTTTTTTCGAGGTCACGTTTTTCCATCTCAGGTTTTCAAGAAAGCTACCAGCCCACTGACTTGCTTTTTTCCCCAAGAGTGGCTAAGATGTATTAGCATCTTTATTCTAGATCCTTGCTTCTCAAAGTATGGTCTATAGACCAGCAATCTCAGCATTGCCTGAGAGCTTCTCAGAAATAGAAAATTTGGGTCCCACTTCGATCAGAATCTGCATTTGGACAAGATCCTTGGGTGATTTGTGTGCACTTTAAAGTCTTAGACTCACTGCTCCAGAGAACTGAATCCATATTTCCATCTGCCCACTTATGACTTTTCCACTGTCAGAGCTGAACTCCTCTTCCTCACCACTACCTCAGTGAAATCCAAGAGCAACAGACAGACTTGGCCCTTGGACTGAGCAAGGAGGCCCGGTGGGCGTCAGTGACCAGAGGCACCCTGACTGGGGAAAGAATGCTGAAGGATGTGTACGGTGGATGACACGGATGGACACAGGTGGCTGATGAACTCAGGTCAGAGTCCTTCAGCATATTGCTGGGGATAGATGAGGAGTGGGTTTCTTTTCCTGGAGGGTGGTCTTTTCTGTGTCCAGTGGTAGATAGTGGCAGCATGTTGGCTTAGGAGTAGCACCGAAGCCCATGGCATGGGTTCAAGGGCCAATGCTGTCATGTACTGGCTGTGGGACCATGACAAGTAACCTAAAGTACTGGAATCTCCATTTCTTCAGTGTAAAATGAGGAAACTAATACTTGCTCTACTTATTTCACAAGGCTGAGGTTAAACATGTTATGAGTGAAAGTGCTGGGCAATCTATAACGTACTACGCACATGAGAGCCATGGGACAGGGGAGGAACCATCTCGATGTTAAATAACTGGTTGGAGAAAAGGAAGTATGTGGGTTATGTTTCCAACACAGATTTACACATGGCATTCATGCTGTCTACACACTACTACTGCAGCAATGAATTCACACCTCGACCACAGTTCTTGTCTCATCCTGTGGAAATGACATGTTTACATGCTGTCTTTCCCAGTAGGCTGTCACCTCTTTATGGCAGGGACTTTCTCATTTTTATATCTTCCACATTGAGCAGAGTACCAGATACATAACAGGTACTCAACAACATATGTTGAACAACCAATAAAATAAAATGAATGAAGCTGATACGACACAGTGTGAGCTACCTGAATTGGCATCTGATAGAGGAGACGAACATCAACTACTAGGAAAACGCATTCTTGCTACTGATGAGCTTTTCAAGGGCCACCAGCCACAAGCCCTCTGTCCCATCCAACTTATCTGCCCAGATGCATTTTGAGTGAGAGGGACCAGATTTCGAGGTGCCCTATGGTAAAAGCACAGGTCATACCCACAGTAGTGCCTGTCCTGACTCTGCTGCTCTTCTTTGAAACTATGCTGCCATTGACCTCCCCTCCCAACCCACAGAAGCTGCCAGGTTTTCACAGGACATTGCTCCTGAATGTTCTGGAAAGGATGGGGAACATGGATCAAGCTGGGCCAACCACAGTGCCCTACCTCTGGCCGGACTGGTTTATTAGGTGGGCTAATAAGATGCTTATTCAGGATACTTGGAGAGACAAACATAAAGGGAAGGAGGGAGGGAGGGAGAGATATTATTTAGTTGCTCTCCAGGGGAAGAATTTATCACAAGTTAAAGCTCTAAGACTGTTTGAGGCCAGGTCTTTCAGCACCTGGACAAAGCCCATCTGAAGGTGAGAGGATCAGTCTGGCAGAGAACGTGAAGTGAAAACGGAATGTGGTGCTTTCAGTTCTTCCTGAGGCCTGGCTGTATCCCCTCCTGCCCCTCCACAGGTTTGGCTACTCAGCCCTTCCTTGGACACCCTGAGCAACACATTTCCCTTTCTACATAAGCTAGTTTGAGTCAAGTTTCTGTCACTTGCAACCCAAAGAATCCTTACTGATAATACCTATATTAAAATACAACATCAAGACAAAAAAAGAAAAAAAAAAGAAAAGAAAAAAGAAAAAAAAGAAAAAAAACACAAATGTGTCAGAATAGTTTTGTATTCTTTTCATCATCTAAAAGGTAAAGCTACAAAAATCCCAGTATGTTCTTGCTATGCCATTGGTTTAAAAATATCTTCATTTTCAAAATCCCAGTTGAATAGGCATTTGAACAACAGGAAAGTATTGTGTGTGAAGCAGTAAATATCTAGGAACAGGAAAAAAATCTTATTAAGTATTTAGGAATAGTGTTATCACCACAAAATTTAGTACTGATTTTTCGATTTAGCATTATTTTTCTTCAACCATAGTAAGATTTAGTACTCTAGTATTTTAGTATTACTATATTATAGCAATAGTATTATTAATACTATTACAATAGCATTAATAGTATACAAGTATTACTATTACCATCGTATTTTAGTATTGGTTATTACTTAGTATTTAGTAGTATTTAGTACTATTTTCCTTCAATGAGCTCTCGAGTTTTAAATGCGATTCCAGGAAAGCCTCTAAGAATCCTCTGGAGTAGACAGGTATCCCAGGGCCTCATTTTCTGGTCATCCTATAATACACCATAGGTGTCAACAGAGTGCTCTGTCCTGAGGAGGGGAAATCCAGACATGGTCCTTTCCAGAGCCATGGCAGGAGCCTGGAAGGAGAGGTCATTTCTACCTGAGTTTATCTGGGAAGGCTTCTGAGTGGAGGCCTTTCTTTTAAATAGGCATCTCCCCAGGTTATAATTTAATCCTTTGTTCTCATCTTTGTGCTCCGATGGCCCAAGGACTACTCTGAGAGAAATGAGCCTCGTACAGAAAAACTGGGCAACTCCTTTACATTTCGCAGGTTTGAAGCAGTTTGAGTTTTTAAAGCCTCGCAGTGGCTGGTGGGTGGAAAGCAGGCCAGTTAGATGGCCACGGCAGGTGGCGGCAGAGATGGTGAGAGGGCGAGGGGCTCAAGTGACATTTAGGAGGTAGAAATAGCAAGACACGGAGATGAATGTAATGAGCATGTAACACTGGGATAGACACTACGGATGCAGGCAGGTTAAGGGGGGCTCTCTGCCCTTGGGGATTTACAATCCGTTTGATAAGCCGGCTGTGAAATAGCAGCTAAAAATACAGGTCACAGATGCCATGTTCCAGGGAGCGGTACTGAGCTGCATGCAGGCAAAGCCTTCCTCTGCCCATTCCGCCTGTTCTCAGTGCAATGCCGTGTCCCTTGGGTAAGCTCATTCCCCCTGGAGGAGTGGGAAAGTGAGCATTCACCTCTCAAACACATAAAATGCATTTTTATTTTAAAAATCCAACTGAGGGGGAAGTTGTTATTGAGTACTCTGAAACTGAAAAGTAAAGGAAATTATTATCAACACTTAGGAAATAGGATCAGGGACTTTGAAGACATTGGGCTCCATGCAACCCGCCGTGAGCGGTGGCTGCTGCTACTATCTCGAAGGCCATCACCGGGCTGCAGGGCCGGAAATGTGGCCTGTAGGACAAGGGCCGGCCCACATGTGGGCTGCTACATTTTAGGAGAAACATCTCACATAGAATGTCCTGGATGGTGGAAAATATATCTCAAGGAAACGCTGAAGGAAACCTAGAAGAGGGAAGAGTCACATGAAAGGTAGATAGTGGTCTTCAAATATGTGAGAAGCTGTCACGTGCAGGAGAGTTCAGGTGTGTCCAGTGGGCCAAGGACAGGTGAAGAGATGCAGCTGCAAACTGCTGAGGCCCTTTTGTGCTCTGAGGTCTAAAAGAGACGCACGTCTCACAAGCAGGGGCAGCTGCACAGAGGAGCACACTCTCCTTACCTTGGGCTGCTGTTTGTTCTCAGGGTATATCGAGCCTCCCTTGAGAAGACCAGCATCTTTACACTGCAATAAAGCAGGCGCCCTGTGTGAAATGGCTCTAGGGATAAGTTAAAGATCTGGTCTAGGATCCACCTTCAAATTCTCCTCTAAAGCTTCATTCTTTAGCTCAGTTGGATCTCAACTATGGGGGGTGTAGACTCCTCAAGGAATGTAATGAAAGTTACAGCCCCCTCCCCTTAGAAACAAGCAAATGATTTGGCATATATTTTCGGGGGAGTTCACAGACAGCTCTCACATGTAAAACCCATTCACAGACACCACATTAAGCTTTGGCTACAACTTTGATCATTATTAAAATGCAAATATCTAATAGAAAAGACGTGAGTTGATGCAAATATAATCCAGTGAATAGAATGGAAAGGAGACACAAGAGCTGGTTTTGGTGGGGAGCACAGAGAAGAGGAACAATTAAGTGTAAGCAGATCCCTTTGTGGGTGGAAGAAAGAGGGGTTTCTCAGGAGCAAGGCTGGAGGCTGAAGAGGATTCTTCCAACCCAAGGATGTAGTCTGGAGCTGCCCATTCACCCATCAGAGACCAGCCCCGAAGGCTCTGGGTCATTCACGATGGATTAGCCTGCAGCCCACCCCTGTGGGGCTTGGGTGAGGAAGCCAGCCTGTGACGCAGGGGCAGAGGAGCTGAGCAAGAGGGATGAAAGATGTGTTTGGAGCGTCAAGGAACAGGTGATTAATTCTACCTGTATGAGGGATCCCAATGGTGACAACTGAACTTGGCTTTGAAAAAATGAGCCAGGTTTTCTTCCAGGCAGGGAATGGAAAGCCTGGCTTGGGAGCAACAAAAGAGCACAGGGAATATGACTGGGGGGCAGGAAGTGACCAAGAATGACACTGTAAATGTGGTTTGAGGCCAGATGGTGAGGGGTCTAGAAAGGCTTGCTATGGAATTTGGACTTTATCCTGTGGGAA